GGCACCTGCGTTGACCCCCTGGGATATGTTTACGTTTAGAAGCACTGTCCACACACATCGTCTTTTTTCACTCGCTGAAATCACTGAGTAATGGGTTTGTGTACCGTTAATCGGTTATAATGTATCCCCTTACCAAGAAAAGGTCCCTCATGTTCCCCACTAGTCACCTGAGATCCCCAAAAACACTTGGTATCTTTCAATTTTTTAAACCCCCCGTGTATAAAACAATTCCCCAACACCAGGCCCCTGTCACAATCCAGAGACAAACATTTTTACCAAACGTTTCCCCTTCTCGGACATACTGCTTTAATGAAGCACCTTTTTAACAAATCAAAGACTGCAATTACAAGATTCTTGAATGGTAAAAGTTATCCTGAAATTTGTTTGAGATACATGAAAAAATTTCTAATCTTTATAACCTGTCAGTCAGGCCCGGTTTTGTCAGGAAGTAACATACGAAAGTAAATAACCTGTTTTACTGGGATATTTCACTGAAGACCGGGGGAGAAATTACCGACTGTGGACCATATGCTTTTATTTTGCTTTTTTGAATGAGGGTAAGAATTTTTTGTTGCAAAAAGCAAAAACTTTCTGCAACATCGCTCTTTTTACCGTGTTCCCGCTGTGATGATAAGATGTTTTTTCCTGGGGACTCAAAATTTATTTCTTTCCCGACAAAATTTCCATCATGCTGGTCAAAGAATAATTCAAAGAATTCCTTCATTGGCCGTGGTTCCAAGGGGGCAAATGGTAGAATTTTCCCTTTGAGAATCACAAAGTGGTGAGGGGGAAAAAAATTGGGGGTTTTTGCTGCCCAACCCACATACGGTTTTTTCTGGTGGATACTGGACATCATAGCGGGTTTTGGGGGTGGTTTTGGTTGTGGGGGCTGGGGGCGGCGCTCTGCTTTGTCCTTGAACTGCGAGTCGCTTTGGGGCCCAGCGTGGGCCCGTGAGTCAACCATGGCGGTGCCCCTACCACACCACAACACCATCCCCTGAGCCTGTGGGCTATCCAGCCAAGTTACCCCCAAAAAACATCCTCACTATCACTACCTAAAACTGTGTTGGGCCACGGGGGTGTACTCCGGGATGTACTCCACCCCTGGGCACACATAGGTAACTACCCCGGGGCCATGCGGGGGGGGAACATACCGACCTTCATGGGAATATGTTCCTCATATCACTCTCTTGTCGTCGGCGCAAAAAAACAAGTCCCGTATTTTTCATCAATTATGAATCAGAGGGCCCGGGGCCCCGCGAAATATTCGTTTTTCCTTGCGATGAGGAAAAACCGACCCGGGGTCACGAGTGCCCCCACCGAGGTAAAGGGGGTTTAGGGTCTCAGGGGTTTTTCTGAAACTATCCGTCATTTTTTCGGGCAAACTGATCAAAGCCCCTGAATTGTTTCATTTCCAATTCCCTCGGTCAAAATTCAATGGAAGAGGGATCCCATTTTTCCCCGGGGGTGGAGTGATTTGCGACGACATGGGGAACAAGTGTTAAAATGAGCCACCGTTCCCACAATCAGGGGGGGCACCCAATTTTTTTTTATGGCGCACACCCACCCGCAGCCCGTTCTCTCACATTAGGCCTATGAGCGTTTTCGCGTAAATTTTACGGCGTAAAATTTTTTGGTAGATCTTTTGGTTTTGGACACTCAACTAAACCGTTTATTACGGGCGGACCCTGAAAGGGTTTAAAATGCCATCATAAATGAGAGGAAGGCAAGAGACACAGAGAATGTAACAAATGAACACGTAAGGGAATCGCTTGGTCAGACGAAACTATATTAATACCTGTCTACTTTTGGTTCATACATGTACATTTGCACTAGTTGTTGAAGCATTTACCCCAAATATACAAACACTTACATTGAGTATAAGTTGTCTTCATGTTAGCACAGTAGTAAAATAAATATCTACCAGTGAATGCACATGAAGTCGATAATTTTTCTATTACCCAGATTAATACGAGCGTAGTTGTACACACTGAGCGTCTGGGTTGGACGAGAGAAAAACATAATTCTTGCCATCCACTCTTGACAAACTGCCTGGCTACCACATCTCATTATTTAATCAAATTATTCTACTGTGGGTTATTGTATCTGTTCGTCATGTTATGTTAGTGTGTTTTCTTGTAATAATATTGTAAAAATATCAGATTAGTTATTTTTTATTTATTTTATTAATTTGAGCAACAACTTACCAGAGGTACAAAAAAAAATACAGATAAAGCAGCATGCCAAAGCCACTTATACTATTACTATACAAGCATTAACGGGCTGGGGCGGAAAAGTTAACTTAAGAATAACTAAAGGCATTGATAAATCATGAAAAACATTTAATTAAACTGATTACTATAAAGCACAAGTTGTGAGTTAATTTACAAAGACAGTCCCTATGGTAGCATGCATTGTTTGTAAAATTCAGTTAATAATGGAGTATTCTGTTAGGTAGTGAATTAAAAAATTATAAAGTTAGATTGGGTTTTTAAGGTTTAACATTTATTATATAATTGTGAGAAACATTTTAAGATATACTATTATAAGGTTCAGTTATGCAGTATTTATTTGTTTTGTGATATAAGTATCTTTGAGAAGAGACTTGAATTTATTAAACAGAGTAGTGTTTCTTTTATATTAAGCAGTAATGAATTCCAGATTTATTTTAGGGCCTTTTATGGCATTGATTTTGCATAGCGTGAGATTACATGCGAGTGAATAAAACGAAAGAGTGGATCTGTGCCTTGGTGTTATGTCAATGTGTTCTTGTGAGTTTGCAAGGATATTTTGAGGGAGGGTTAATATCAGAGTTGAGTGTTTCTATGGTTGTAATAGGTGACAATGTGATAAGTATGATGTTTTTGGGTATGGGAGTAAGGTTGAGTGTATTGAATATTGGTGGTAGTGTGCCTGCCTGTAGTTAGAGATTTTTTATGTTAACATTCAACGCACCATTGTGTGGTTGGTAATTTAGTGGCTGAGATGTACTGTTGTTTGAGGCCCATGCACAAATTCCATAGTGAGATGGGGTAAATAAGAGAGTGATATATAGGCCAGAGGGCTGACTGTGGAGCATAGTACCGTATCTTCGATAGTATGCCTAAATCTTGGAAATTTCTTAGAAATTTGATTGTATATGTGTATGAAATTTGATCAATTATTCAAGGTGGATATATTCCTAAAATTTTCCCTTGATAGCTTTGTTGATAGTGATCCTTTATCATTATGTTAGGGACATCTTAGCCTATCTTGTTACGCTTTTCTGAATGAAAGTAGGTTTTGTCAATGTTTATGTAAGTTGTTAGTACTCATATAAGATATATTTTCCTGAATTCGGTATTACAGTATTGCTAGCGTGACTGTGGCGAGGGTGGGAGAAGACGTATTTGTGTCATCAACAAATAGTGTGGTTTGAGTAATTAGAACATTTGTAGTCATTTATGTATAGGATAAAGAAGTAAGTCCAAGGACACTTCCCTGTTGACCACCACTGAATTGTTTGCAAAGATTTTCCCTTGTAAATTTTGCGTACACATATTGGCTTCTTGATGAGGTAATGCTTGAGGTAGTTGAGGGAGTGCCCCTCTTAAAACCATAAGTGTGATAATTTTAACGTGGGGCAAGTCAAATGGACAACTTAATCAAAAGCTTTACGAAAAGGTCAATGAAGACCCCAGTTGAGACTTCTTTTTTCTCTATCGCAGTGTATATATTACTAGCATGTGTATAATAGCGATCATTACACAATTTTTATTAGGCCTGAATCTCTCTAATTGGCAATAGGTTGAGTAGTTTTGGGAGATTGTAGGGATAGATTCGTTTATGAATTAATTTTCGAAGATAATATTGAGAGAGGGTGTAATATGGATATTGGCCTATAGTTAATTCCACTGCTGTTTGTCCTCCTCCTTTGTGGATCGGGGTGACCCTTGCTCATTTTGAGTAATGGTAGGGATGGTGAGATTCTCAATGGATTTGTTAAAGATTGTTGCAATGATGGTGATAGCACTGTGACAATTTTTTGTATATAAAGGGTGGTAAGGTATTTAAATCTCCTGCCTTGTTTTTATGCCCCTTTGATTAAAAGGGAGACCTTCGTATGTTAAGTCGTAGCTAGGAACAGTGTGTATCGGTAGGTTGCCGGTGAGTATTCCATTTGTGGGGTATCAGAGCTTGGGGATTTTTATTGCAATTGTTTGTCTACTAGTGGAGAAGAAATCATTGAGTCTGTTTGCTGTTTTCTGTTGGTGTGGAGTTGGGGATCATCTTATTTTGCTAATTTTATTCGCTATTTTCGGTGATATCTTTTTTGTTCCCAGAATTTCTGATAGGGGTTCCCTGTCTTTTTTTATATCCCTCTTAATGGATAATTCTGTTCCATAATTACATTTTTTTGCCCCTTCTTATCAGGCCTGGTTAGGATTGATGTACGTTTTGTTTGGTCCTCTTGTTAATTTGACCCATATCTGTTACTGTTTTTCATATGGTTGTTTTGTATTCTTATGGATTTTGAGAATGCTGGTGTTAGCCAGGACTGTTCATGATCTCTTAGCTGTCATCTGCTTGTTTTTTTAGGGCAAGTGTCTTGGTTATAGAGGTATTGGATCTTTTTTAGAAAGTTATACCTATCACATTCGTCCAATATCTGTGTATCTATATCGCTACTCAGTGTGCCAATCAATGTTTTGTCTAATGCTGTTGTGAAGTTATTAATGGCTCTCCTTCATTGTGAAATTCTGAAGGGTGACCTTTAGTAGGGTGTTCTATCTATATATCTCTAGTTACCAAGAAGTTGTTATGAGGAAAGTAGGGTATGTTCTGTGGGTATTATCTGTAGATTATGCCTGGCGAGATTAAAGGGGATATGGTGTTGTCCAGATGTGGTCAAGTAGGAACACTATACTCTGTAACTCTTTATGTTTTGTTACTGTTGGTAGCAACATACAGTTACTCATTTTTTGAATTCAGTAACTGTGGTCCTGTCTTGCAGGAGCGAGATGGCGAGCAGAGTGGCAAGTCACCTGAGAGAGTAAGTGATCTTTGTTCATGCGGCATCAGTTATCATACTCCTTGGTTGACTAAATTGCTAATTTTTGACCTGTGAACTCTGTAATGTTTTCAATGTGAGAGGTTTTATGTAGGTATTTGGATTTGAATTTGGCTTTATATATTCCGCCATGTTCATCTCGGGTGCAAGTAGTTAGTGATACATTCTAGTTGGTCTGAGTTTATATCGGTCGACACCCCCCTTGTTGGTCTGGCCTACAGTTGTGTATGCTGTGTAACCAGGAATGTATAGTCAACTGTATTATCAGTAGGAGCCAGTTTCAGTTAGTGTATTAATGGACCATATTGGCATGTAAGAATTTGTAATGCTATTGAGGTCATCGAATCTTGCTTAAAGATCTGATATTTGTAATTAGAAAGTTATGTTGTGTTGCACGAGCAGTCCTATCGCGTTTATTGTTCTGCAGTATAATTAAGTAACTGTTTTGATTCATTTAAGTCATTAAATAAGAGTTTGGTATCGGGATCAATGCTATATTGTATTCATAAGATTTGTAGTGAATCAATAGTTATGAATTAAGTATAAAACAAAGTAATAGTCATAAGCTAAAAAATAGCACCTAAATTAATTAACAAATGTAAAATAATGTGCCAAAGTAATTTTTTTTTTTTTTTTTTTATTTTTTTTTTTTAAGCTAAAATAACGGAGACAATAATAAAAGGGACTATTAACAAATAAAAGTGATATCAAATAATGGAGCTTGGGAATATGAGTAGTAAGGTAGTACTATAAAATAAATGATCTTTGAATTAATGCCAAAATTGTGAACTTGTTCTACTTAAGCACTCTAGAATAGCACCTTGATTATTTTAACAATTGTGACTGTATAAGCTAGGTAGTTATAAAAGCTAAAATGAAAGAGAAAATATATAAGGGATAGGACCTACAATTAAGTAATGGATAAACACCTAAGTTAAATGGACAGATTGGTCCCTATGACATAATATTGGTTTATGAGTTAAGGAACTGATTTGTAATATAGATAAATTGAGCAGTTTTAATTGCACAATAAAAGTAAAAAAAAATGAGGTAGTTGTACTAAGCTAGCAAAAGATAGTTACACACGGTACTTTGCAAAAAAGTAACTCTATATCTAATACACAATTGAATAACAATGTAAAGTGACTAAAAAAACAAGTAGTGATAAACAAAATTAAATGGACAGGTAAGAAAAAATGAATATTATTAATTTGGAGTAAGATTTGACTTTTAATTTAAAATTATGATGGATTAATGAAAATGTCTAAGTTACATATTAATATTATATTACATATTAGTATCATTATTATTAATATGGCATCTTTAAGACTAGTGAGACACTCTTAGTGACTTTAATGTGTACGTGCATGCCAGCACAATGTGTAACTTTATTTAGGTACAGGTGCACATTTAACCCTTTCAGGGTCCAAGGCCCAAATCTGGAGTCACGCACCAGTGTCCAAGAATTTAAAAAAAAAAAAATGTTATTTTTTCTTATGAAAAACGTAGGAATTTTTTGTGAAAGGTAAAAAAGCAAAAAATAAAATTTGGTGGAAAATTGCGAAATTAGCTCTGCGAATTTTTATGTGTCAGCGGGTATTTACAACGGGGGATTTTGCCGATTGACTCCCTTTTAGGCCAAATTTCATTTTCCAGTCAACCAAATTTTAGCTATTTACTAGTATTATTTTTTCTATCGTTGACACAAGAAAACGCCAAGTCAAACTGTTTCAAAAAAAATAAAGTGATCGGAAATTTTTAATTTGGCCAAAAATTTAAAAAGTTCAAAAATTCCCCAATTTTCCCAAAAAAGGGTCCCGAATGAACAAAGTAGGCTTCCCGGCACTAAAAAAACATTTCCTCTGTTTATTTTTATGTTTTGGGCTTTAAAATAAAACCATTTGATTTTTTATTCCATAATGAAATTTTTTTTTCACACCAAAAAATAGAAAATTTCTGTTAGCAAAACGTAATAATGTATAAATATCTACCATATTGTGAATGATTTAGACCCACCCGTGGTGCTATTAGACAGTGAGGTCGTTGTTTACTCTTGAAAATCGGCAAAAATTTAACATTTCTGCTACTTTTAGTCATTTCAAGCCATTTTTAGTCTAAAACCAATCAAAATATCTCTATTTTTGTAATATGTCTTCCTTCTATCAAATGAGGACCAAGAAATCGCAAATACAACTATAAAAAAAAATACGAAAAAACACGCAAAGTTTGTGTTTTAATCAAAAAACATGATTTCATTTTTTTTTTCTTTTAAACACAGTGTGCTGCAGGTTTGTTTTATGTGGTGCCCAAAAAACCCCATAATGTTTTCTCTCAATCTAGGCCCAAAAAGTACCACTAACAGTTTATCAGAGTTGAGTGAGCTCATGGCTAGACTAGGTTTGGACCCTAAAGGTAAAGCCGTAGATCTAAGGGACGGACCCTGAAAGGGTTAAAAAAATTTATTTAACTTTATTAAAGACTGTGCTGGCTTTGGGAAAGATGGGGAGAGTGAGGGAGCACTTACTGTTTGGAAGGGGAATCCCCTTCCATGAAGACTAGGTAACAAGTCCTTATCTGGGGCTACTTCCTTTCTTTGTCTTTTAATTCCTAGGACCCCCTTGAGCATTGGCCCCCTGTCGCACAAATAACGTCCAGATCCTCTTTTTCGGGTCCCCTTCTTAAAACATTTCCTAAAATGGACGGTTCGTACTGAACTTGTTGCAGAGATGGTTGTTTCGTTTGCCAGGGTGGTATTTTTGCACAGAACTTTGCAACCTATTCCACATTCCACACATGTCCCTAACTTCCCCAAACCCCTTGGGCACGACCTGCTTCCACTTTGGGCAAATGTGACACCCCCACAACGCTGCAACCCCCTTCCCTACAGAATAGCTACTCCTCGCTTGCGTATTCTGTTCAAGATTGATTGACTGACCCATCGGCTAAAGGGTTGGGGATGATTTCTTTTCCCCTTTTTCTTCACGTTCTCCTTTGTATGGACTGATAAAACCACTTTTTGTGGAAAAACGTTTCCTCAATAAAGATCCAAGAGTTCAATGTGTCAATTTTCAACGTGTCGGTTCTCAAAATCTTTATCTATAAAAGCTTTACTTTAAAACCCCTCACTAGATTGCAAGAACAAAAGAGTTAGTCTGTCTTTTTAGGATGTGCCCTGGCATTTGCCTTTTTCCTCCTGCATTATTTGGGTTTTCTCTTGGCTTTTTCTTAAAAAAGAGGCCTTTTGTCAAAATTTAAAAAAACATTGGTGGGGGGTTTGAATATTTCGGTCTATTCCCCCTTAAATTCATTTTTGAATTTTTCAGCTGCTTTTTGTCAGAACGGGCGGCACCCCCTCCCTTTAACAAGTTGTATCCCCACTAGCTTTTAAAATTTGTCAAACCAGCCTCTGCTGGCCTTAAATCGCAAACATCACCACTCGTTGGGGCATGTTCTTTGAGTCATCATGCATCTGCCTTCCCCTTTTCACAAATGAGGACTCCAAAAAATACCCCCTGCTTTCTGTTTTTTGTTCCCCACACCTCCAACAATTTCCCCCCCTTTTGTTGCGATCTTTTTGGGTTTAACGTCTAACCTTTCGCAAATCCTTCCTTTATTTTTTTCTTTTTCGGATAGAAGCATTGTTGATTTCTTTTGCCATCCCTGGCCGCTCCCAACTCACACACCATCAGATTTTTTTACTATTTCTTTCTTCACTTCTGTTGTGTTTCTCACTTTCTTTTTCCAAAGGGGTGCCCCCCCCCAGGAATTCCCCTTGGGCCCATGGTGACTTATTTTACGTTGCACTCAATTAAAAAGCACCAAATACATGAAATTTAAATTTTGAAATGTTTGGGTGGCATGCAGGGGAAAGTTCATCAAGGTAAAAAACACCAGACTGACTACGACCGCTGCGCGGGGGGCGGGGAAAGGTCTGGGACGTGGGATGAAACTCGGGGGGGGGGGGGGGGGGGGGGGACTCAAACCCCCCAAACCAAACAAAATTTCCCCCCAAAACAACAAAACCCCCCCCCCCCAAACCCAAGTTCATTCAAAATCAAAAAAGTTTCGACAAAATTCTAAAATTTGGGGGTAAAAAACCCCGGTTCAGGGGGGCCCTTCGGCACCCGCGACTATGAAATCTATTTCGGCAACTTTTTTTCCCGCCAAAATTTAGCTTCGCGGTTCGTGAATTGCCCGTGATTCGGCGCCCTCCCCCACGGTCCACCGTCAGCATGCACACAAAGCCAGTTTTCCCCCACCATTCCACTCAGTGTTCTCTTGTTTTCCAGCGAGTGACCATCCCCATGAGTTCAAACAACATTTCATAATACAGTAAACCCTTTTTTTTTGTGCTTGCAATGTAAATAAGCCACCCTGGGACCAAAGAAACTGTAGTGCCCGCCTTTGTAAAGAAGGAAGAAACACAATAGAAATTTAAGAAAAAAAATCGTAGCAATTTCCCCAATGTGGAGGAGGAAGAAGAGGGGAGAAGTGCCTTCTGCAGGATTCTAGATATGTACGATACTAAAGCAGCAGGTATCGAAAAACGTATAGTGCCATATGAGAAGTGTGAAGTAACAGTGTACAAGAAATTAAGCATAAAAAACGACATGAAAGTAACTCTCCAATGTTCAACATTAAAATGGTATGAAATACCGACAGGTTGTTAGGTAAGACATATGCAACAGTTACGTATCTTTATTTCGAAAAGTTTCGCCTACACAGTAGGCTTCTTCAGTCGAGTACAGAAAAGTTGATAGAAGCAGAAGACGACGATGTAATCAATCCATCACCCTTGAAATTTTGAGGTGGTCAGTCCCTCAGTCTGGAAAAAGTATTGTCTTCGTACAGACCTGAAATCAACTTGGACAACTTCTACTAGTGAGAATGGCTGGATTTGAGAGGGACCTGACCTCCCAACGACTTCATTCTTACCTCTACTAGTGGCCTACATCTCACCTCCTGGCATTATATAAGGCTTC